TGTACAGGAATGTTTTTCCATCTCTTTATGTCATCGCCTATTTCTTTCAAGAAAGTCTTGTAGTTTTCATTGCATAGATCCTTCACTTCCTTGGTTAAGTTTATCCCAAGGTATTTTATTCTTTTCGTTGCGATTGTGAATGGGATAGAGTTCTTGAGTTCTTTTTCTGTTAGTTTATTGTTAGTGTATAGAAATGCTACTGATTTATGCACGTTAATTTTATACCCTGCTACTTTGCTGTAGTTGTTGATTATTTCTAATAGTTTTTCTGTGGATTCTTTGGGGTTTTCTATGTATAAGATCATGTCGTCTGCAAACAACGAGAGTTTTACTTCTTTGTTACCTATTTGGATTCCTTTTATTTCTTTTTCCTGCCGAATTGCTCTGGCCAGCACCTCCAGTACTATGTTGAATAGGAGTGGTGAAAGTGGGCACCCTTGTCTTGTTTGTCAGACTACCTTTTAGCTGCTCTGTTGGCCTCTATGTAGTATGGGCAGAAGTCCTGATGGAGGGTATTTTTTTGAGGTAGTTTTCTATTTGAGAGGCTGCATTCCCAATATTTTAGATTAGTTAAGAGTAAGATACAATAGGTGTCTTTGAATATATACCTTGTTGAAAGAAGATAAAGGAAGTTTATTTCAAATCCAATGTTCATCATTAGGGGATTGATTAAATAATCAGTGATGATGTCTATTAACAATGGAGTACTATGCAGCTATAAAGAAGAATGAAGAAGGTCTCCATGTACTGATATGGAAAGATCTCTATGACATACTGTTAGGAAATAAAATCAAGTATAATATTGCTACCTTTGTGTAAAAAAGAAGGGGAAAAATATACATTTGTATTTGATTGCATATGCATAAGGAATACATAAGAAATGAATACCTGTGATAGGGGGTGGGTAGTAGTGGTGGTGGGAACTGCTCAGATGGGGGACAGAGTGGGAGGGAGACTTTACTGTATACTTTTTTATATTTTTAAGTTTTCAAACCATGGGAACATGTTACCTGTTTTAAAATAGACAAGTTTATTAAAAGGATTGAAAAGGTAAATATTTTATTATTGCTCCTACTATTATGATTTCTGTCTTTCTCTTCTTGTTGACTGGGATCCCTCTATCAGTAGTTTCTAGCATATGGGCCACATCTTGAGGGTCTAGAGAGTCTGTGAATCCATAGATACTGAATGAATACTTATTTTTTATCATTGGACAATTTGTGAATCAACAGATATCGAAAGTATTGCTACTATCCTGGTGTGAAGGGAGTGTCTTAAAATAGTTTAATATATGAGTCCTTAAATAGAGGGTCTATTACCCTACCCTAGGAGCCTATAGTAGATTGATTTTTCAAAAAGCAACATTTATATTTTTGTTTTTAAAAATTGTATAAGTAACATGTTTGTTGGCAGTAATTTTGAAACTCCACAAAAGCATAAAGAAGAAAATAAAAATCAGTTGTCATAAAAGAATATGTACTCTAGGCTAAAATTCCAGCTGTGTCAGCTCTGCCAGTTTGTGGCCTTGGGCAAATTACTTAACCTTTCTGAGCCTCAGTTTCCTTATCTGTAAATTAGGGATAATAAAGATACTACGGAATTGTAAGGGTTAAGTAGTAGAAAGCATGCAATAGATCAGGATGTTTTTTATTCCTCACTAAATATTATTTAATTATATAGTTGCATAGGTTACATGCTAATCACATTGATGTATTGTAATTTTCATAATCATTTAGACTACTTCTAGCCTTTCACAATTATAACTAATACTGTGATGAACAATTTTATACGTAAATATCTTTATTTATCTCTCGTTATTGTCTCAGGATAAATTCCTGTAAGTGGAATTATTGGGTCATGTGGCATAAATATTTTTAAGCCTCTGGGTATATATTAGCAAGTGTTTATTAAAAAGTTTATACTACATGACCCAGAAATTAAGGAAATCATCTCACAGAAGAAAATAATAGCATGTATAAAACATTTATGGTTAAATTGATAATAATGAAACTTGGAAGAATCTATAGTATCTGTTAATAAGGAAATGGCACCAATATAATAGGATTTCATATTCTGTTGAAAATGATCACAACACCTTGATGGTATTATGCTAAGCGAAATAAGTCAGAGGGAGAAAGTCAAACACTGTATGATCTCACTCATAAATAGAAAATAACAACAACAACAAACAAACACATAGAGACAGAGATTGCATTGGTGGTTACCAGAGGGGAAGGTGGAAGGTAGGGGGGTGAGAGGGGTGATTGGGCACATGTGTGTGGTGATGGATGGTAATTAGTCTTTGAGTGGTGAACATGATGTAATCTACACAAAAATCGAAATAGAATGATGTACACCTGAAATTTACATGTTATAAACCAAAGTTACCTCAATAAAAAAAAAAGAAAATGATGAATATAATCAAAGTATCTGTGTGAGAAATGTATGAAAAAGCTTGAATGATAAGTTGAATTTGCATTATGATTGCAGCTATTGAAAAACTGTGTTTATGTGGACACATACACAGAGCACATGAAATAAAAATAACTATGTAAAGGTGTCAAGATTAGATTATGGTTGATATTTCAGATCTGTACACTTCTTGAACAAATTTTTGTCACTTTTTTTTTGAGGAAGATTAGCTCTGAGCTAACATCCACTGCCAATCCTCCTCTTTTTTGCTTGGCCCTTTTCAGATTGGCCCTGAGCTGACATCTATGCCCATCTTCCTGTACTTTATATATGGGATGCCTGCCACAGCATGGCTTGCCAAGCGGTGCGTAGGTCCGTGCCCAGGATCCAAACTGGTGAACCCTGGGCCACTGAAGCAGAGCACACGAACTTAACTGGGGCAGCCCCAAGTTTTGTCACTTTTTTGGGCCTTTTTGATATGGGTTTCAGTTAAGACCCTTGGCTCTTTAGGGGGTAGTATGTAGTGTGTCATAGTAGTTGTGTTTAATCAACATGATTGGAAAACTTGATGAAGAGAGCTGTCTTTCTGGCTGATGTTTTGGGAGGTGTTTCCTACAAGCAAGTAGTACCAAGCAAGGAAAGGCACCTGAGTAAGAGTTTCAACCTGATTGCTTAGGTTGTCACCTACTCAGAGTTACCCTGGTGAGTATTCCAAAGATAAGGAAGACTCAAAGGGGTGGAGTGGGTAAGACAGCCAAAGTCTTAAGTGAGACTTAAGTTGAAAGTGGCTAAGATAGTTGATTAGCATTTGTGTTGACTTAGTCCAGACAAGAGTGGCTGAAGGTAGTCCACTGTGAAGGGCATAGGATTTGGAGAAAGAGGTCTAGATGCAGCTTCCAGCTCTGCTGCTTGTTAGCCATGTGATGTTGAACAAATCACTCATCTTGGTTCCCGGCTGTAAAATGAAAATGGTAAAATAGTAATAGCTGACGTTTGTTGGATACTTATTATGTGTCAAGTACTGTTTAAAGCATATGGCATAACAATTTACTCCTCATAGCAACCTTATATAAGGTGGTACTATTATAATACTTGTTTTGCAGATAAGGAAACTGAAGCTCACAGAGGTTAAGTAACTTGCCCGGGGTCACACAGCTACTATGTAGTGGAGCTAGTTTTGAATCTAAAGCATCTCTCTCAGTTAGGCTATCCTGCCTTTCTTGAGGATAATGATGCTCAAGAAAGTGCTTTGTGAATGGTAAAACAGTTATTATTTACTTTATGGGTAAAATACCTACCAACAGTAACTAGAGCACATGAGGATGTTCAGATGGTAAACAAGTAACAAATTAAGGGACAATGTGGGGGCAGAGGGAAGAGAAGAATTCTCCAGATAGGGTTTAAGGCAGATCCTTTGAAGGAAATTATATATTTTCTTTAGAGTTCCCTAATATTTACCATGGAATTACTGCATTATAGACTCTATGCTAGGCCCAGTCTCATGGGAGCTCATCTACAATGAGCTTTTTCCTATCCTGGGATTTTTCAAATGATTCTGTTAGAAAACCTAATGGTACTTAGAAGACCAAAAGCAAATTATTTCATACCTCCTGAAAAGATAGGTAGTTTAACAATTATTTCTTGTTGTGTTGGGATGGTTTGGGATTTTGTTATTGTTGTTTACTTTTAATCAAACCAAACTACTAAGGAAATGTTCCTTATAGCATAACGAGCTCTTATGTATTAGTTGGGAGAGGAAATAAATTGCTCCAAATAAAAGCCTACAAAAGCCAGGGGACTAGAGTTCATTCTGATTCTATTTTTCCCAAACTTATTACTGAAACCGTTTCTCTTCATAAGAGCAGTAGATTTAGCTTCCACGTCTAGAGGTGTAGATTTAGTTAAAAATTCAGTCCTTATTTTGAGGTGAGGCAGAAGTGGAACATTGGCACTGAGAGTCTCTTCCAAGCCCAGTTTTAATTTCTCTTAAAAGTCTCAACTGGAAAAAAAAAAAGTTGAACTTTGACTTAGCATTAGGGTGATAAACTGATAAACTGAACTTCAGAGGAGCTTGTGTTAGGAAAACAACTCTATTTGTACCTTGCAGGCAGAGAGGATTCCAAATTTGAGAGTCCTCTTTGTGGTCGTTTTTAAGTGGCTCTTGATTTCAAATTTTTGCAAGGCCTTGCCTGTTGTGGGCATTAGGTAAAGTTTAACGAGTGAATTGACCTTTGCTTGAAGGCAAATTGATGTATTAGAAAGGCCCTGGGCTTTGCAGTGGTCTTAAGTTCCAATCCAAGCTCTGCTACCTCCTCTTTACTAGCTCAGTGACCGTGGGCAAGTTACATTGTGACCTTGGTTTCGTAATTTGTAGAATGGGATTGGTAAAACCTAGCTCACTGGCTTGTCATGAGGAATATGTAAGATTCTATCTGTATATTCAAGTTGCTAGCGTGGTACTAGGCTCAAAGGAGACCTACGCTGGATTGAGCCAAAGCTATTTTCAGCTGTTTGTATGGAGACATCTAAACACAGCTGTATGCTTTTTCAAGAACCATTAAGAAGGGATAAAAGGGCCCGTTTTTTTCCTCCACAGGGCTGTGCTTAAGAGTAAAACTTCAACGGTGTTTACCGTTTAAACATAAGGTAAGGAAGATGTTTTTTGTTGTTTTATAGCAGCTTTATTGAGATTTAATTCACATATCACACAATTCACCTATTTAAAGTGTGCAATTTAATGGTTTTTGGAATATTCACAGAATTGTGCAACCATCACTACTATCAGTTTGGAACATCTCACCAATAAGAAACGCCATACGAATTAGCAGTCACTCCCCATATCTCCCCATCCCTAGGCAAACACTAATCTACTTTTTGTCTCTATAAATTTGTCTATTCTGGACATTTCATTTAAATGAATTAGTGGTCTTTTAAGACTGATGTCTTTCACTTAGAATAATATTTTCAGAATTCATCCATGTTGTAACATGTACCAGTATTTCATTCCTTTTTTGTTGCCTTACCTTGTTCCATTGTGTGGATATACCACATTTTATGTATGCATTTATCAGTTGATGGACATTTGGGTCATTTCCACTTTTTGTCTATTGTGAATAATAGACTGCTATGAACATTTGTGTACAAGTTTTTGTGTGGGCGTATGTTTTCATTTCTCTTCCACCTAGGAGTGGCGTTGCTGGATCCTATGGTAACTCTATATTTAACCTTTTGGGGAACTGCCGCACTGTTTTCCCTAGCCGCTCCACCATTTTACCTTCCCACCAGCAGTGTATGAGGGTTCTCGTTTCTCCACATCCTCACCAACACTTACTATTATTTTGTCTGTCTTTTTCATTATAGCCATCCTAGTGGGTTTGAGGTGATAACTCATTGTGGTTTTGATTTGCATTTCCCCTGATGGCTAATAATGTTGAGCATTTAACCACTTGGCCATGGGGCCAGCCCCCTATATGGCATTTTGTCTTTTAAAAAATACTGGAGTATTTTTAAATACTAAAAATATTTTAAATACTTTTAAATTTTAAATATTAAAAATACTAAGTATTTTTCTAAGGTCTCTTTTTGTCATAATAGGCTATGGTTTTTTTTCAGAGATAGGATTATTTTCAGATAAAAATGTTTATCTCATTTCAAATAAGTATATAAGAAATAGTTCATATGCTCCAATGTTCTCTGGAGAGTAGACATGTCTTTATTACATAGCATGATTTACTTACTGCAGGATTTGCAATACTTTTGTGCGTTTGTCTCAAAAGCTCTGGTTCTTGGAGGTTAGCTAATTTGAGGGAGTGAGTGCAGCAGGGCCAGGAGGGATGGCTTAACCAATACTGAACTTGAGAATGAATTCATCAGGATCATGGTGGAGGAGAAAAGGAGGATACTGAAAACTGTATAATGCGATCTGTTTTTGTAAAATAAGCAATAAGAAGAAACTTCCAGCCTTGAGGGGTCTGTGTGTGTTGATGAAATCTGTTAGAGTATGTGGGCATAGAGAAAAATATGGAAGAAACTACACTAGATTATTAATGTGGCTTTCTTGGAAGGGGCAGGAAGGAAGTTTAGATACGGATTTGGAAGGAAGAGGTAGAGTGCAGAGGAAAGATATCCGTGAATAAAACATGTATGAGATCTCATTTGTGTACTATTATATTTGTTTGTAGCCACACAAAAAAATAAAATGGGAATACCTCCTGCAGGCCTTCCCCAGGTGACCAAAATCCTGCAGTAAGTAAATCATGCTATGTAAGAAAGACATGTCTACTCTCCAGAGAACATTGGAGCATATGAACTAATTCTTATATACTTATTTGAAATAAACATATTTCTTATGAAAAAATCCTGCTAATTTCAGCCCTTGTTTCAGGAAAAAGATGTGAGGGATTTGTCCCTAAGTCTTTGATGTTGGAAACAGGATCTGGGCTTTCATTCCCAGACTCCTGAGTCTATTGTACCTTCTACCTCACTCATCATCTGAGAAGACTCTAAATGTTTTACCTTTAATATTTTTTCTTCCTAGTTGGAAATCTACATTTCTGAAGGAACCCACTCAACAGAGGAAGACAGTAAGTGAATCCTGAACTGTTATTAGAAAACAATTTCAGATAGTACTTTATCTTGGATACCAGGTTCTTCTGCCAACCACGTAACTACTTGCCAAAAAGTGCAAAATCAGTTATTATCTCTTCCTTGAGGTGGGGAAACCTAGGCATTTCAAGGAAGTAATTTTTGTAGTGGGGCTCTGGGTGAACTAGAGTTAGGCCCTGTGGATATTGACTGGTTTAGGTCAGTGTCTACACATCTATACAGAATAGCCTGCTCTAGGAACGTCAACTTATAAGTTCTAAAAAGGACTTGATTCTTTTCTTTGGTGGCAGGGTTGAGAGCTATGTACTTGAAATTGAAACTGAAGGTCTAGCAAGTAAAGCTTTAGGGAAACTTGGGGTAGGTGTTATCTTTCTACACTACTGTATTAAGTGGGAGTGGGGAACTTTTGCATATAGAGGACCTCTGGCCTACAGACAGAAATGAATCAGTAGCCACTTAAAAATAGCAGAGGTGGGGTTTGGGAAAAGCAAAGGACAAAATGTTCTGCATAATCTATGTTACATTAAAAACAGAGAACAAAATTTTATCTACAAATGATAGAATGCAACTAATGAGAAATGCATTTGAAATGCATCTTATGTTTAGCTTTCATCGCTAGGTAAATAGAGAAGTTGGAAAAAGACAGCAAAGGAGGCGAAGAAAGGGACAGTAATATAGTAAGAGCAACAATAAGATAGACATACAGAGGAAGACAGTGACTCAGGAAAGCACACACAGGAAGAAATGCACAAAAACACAAACTCAGAAGAGAAGAGAAGAGAGGGAAGCCCACTGCTTTCAGAGGAACAGCCCATCCAGGAAACTTTTTTAGGTACTGTCATGAAAACTACTAAAACCGTGTCCTATTTTCACAATTCCAGACATGTAGATTATTCTTTTCTCCTCAAGGGTTAAATTTATTCAGATTCCATAAGCTGAGGGCTTCTACCTCTTAATTTAAAGAATAAAAGAGTTTAGGTACCCTAAATCCTGAGGTTATGCTTTTGAAACTCCTGTTAATCAGAGGATTTTATAACAGCAATAGTCTTAAACCTTAAGATTTGAGCTTTTTCCTTTGGTAAGTATTTCTTGAGTGTCTTCTACGTATAGGCACAATTCAACCTTTGAAATACATCCTTGCCTTTGTGGAGCCTACATTGTAGTAGGAAGAAACAGAATGAGTTGAAATTGTTTATGGAATATATATATGTTTTCTGCATGAGACATTTTAGCAGAATCCCAGAAAAGTTAGCCCACATTAAGAATAGGGACAACTCTTGGGGCTGGCTCAGTGGTATAGTGGTTAAGTTTGGCATGCTCCACTTTGGTGGCCTGGGTTCATGGGTTTGGATCCCAGGCACAGACCTACACCGCTTGTCAGCCATGCTGTGGTGGCGACCCACATGTAAAGTGGAGGAAGATTGGCATAGATGTTAGCTCAGAGCTAATCTTCCTCAAGCAAAGAAAGAGGAGGATTTGCAACAGATGTTGGCTCAGGGCTGATCTTCCTCAGTGGAAAAAAGAAAAAGAAAAAAGAATATGAACATCTCTTTTAAACTCTTCCATCAAGAGTACTTGTAGCAGGGCCAGCCCCGTAGCCGAGTGGTTAAGTTCGTGCACTCTGCTTCAGCGGTCCAGGGCATTGGTGGTTTGGTTCCTGGGTTGCGGACATGGCACCACTCATCAAGCCATGCTGAGGCGGCATCCCACGTACCACAACTAGAAGGACCCACAACTAAAAATACACAACTATGTACCAGGGGGCTTTGGGGAGAAAAAGGAAAAATAAAATCTTTCTTAAAAAAGAATCTTTGTAAAAAGAAGGCTATATGTTTAAAGGTGCTCATTGTAGCATAGTCTTCATAATTAATTTAGAACACATAATTTTTGCTGTTAACCCTAATTTAAAAAATAGGCTTAAGAGGAAAAATAGCAATTTTCAAAATTATATTGACTCTGAATTTAACTCTGTGGAAATATGTGTATGGATAAAGACTGGAAAGAAGGAAATGAAAATAGCTGTGGTAGAGTAGTGGGATTATAGGGGATATTTTTCTCTTTAAGTCTCCTTTCCAGAAATTATGAATTATTAACCAAAGCCAGCTTTAAGTTCTCAGGCAGTTAAATTCTATGTTTCTACAGGCTAATAAAAATACTGTCTGTTACTATATATTGACACAGTTCTGCTAACTTTTGTCTGTGTGTTTTGCAGTCAACAAGCAAATAAATGACAAAGAGCGAGTGGCAGCTGCAATGGAGAACCCCAACTTACGGGAAATTGTGGAACAGTGTGTCCTTGAACCTGACTAATAGTTTTTTTAAGAGCCACTGAACTGTAATTATTTGATATATTTGTTTAAACTCTTTGTAAAACGTAAAAGACTCATGTTTAATACATAGGTGATTTGTATCTCGAAGCATTTTTTAAAAATTTCCAAGAAATAATTATAAAGTAGTATCTAGTTTGTTCAATGTGTAATATTCTCAGGATTTGTAACACTTAAATGATCAGACAGAATAATATTTTATGTTATGTGTAAGATGAGTTGCTATTTTTCTGACCTCCATTCTGATACAACTACTTTTCATGTCAAATATTTACTGTGTTCAAATGTATTCAATTTAAATCATTATTATGTAAAATAAATAAAACAGAGATGATTCTTGTAACGAGGCACCTTAGAATGTTTTTATTGAATTGTAAATTTCAGTGTAAATGTCGACTCTAAGAGATATTTCCAAAGCTTTATTTTCTGATTAGAATCAGAGATCTGAAAACCAAAAAGAACCCTTAACATCAGGCCTAGGCCCTGCCTTCGTTCAGGAGAGTCCTGGACCCATTTATAGATGAGGAACAAATGTGGAGAGGGCCAGATGAGGTATATAATTTTGAAGATCAAGAAGTGCCTGAAGAAGTCTTGATTAAACCAATCTAAATTTATGATCTCTTCTTAGCTTGTACTTTTTTCAGTTTTTTTTTAGGGGATGATGATTTTTTGAAGTGTAACAGGGTGTGGTAGGCAACCTCCAAGATGATCCCCAGTGATGGCCCCCAGTGATCCTTGATTCCTGGTATTCATGCCCTTGTATAGTTTGCTTCCATATTGGATCAGAGCTAGTTGGTGTGACTAATCAAAGGTGACAGTGTGTGACTTCTGAGGCTAGATTATAAAACATGTTGCTGCTTTCACCTTGGTCTCTTGGATTGCTCCTTCTGCGGGAATCCAGCTGCCACGTCTTGAGAACATTCAAGCAGCCCTGTTGAGAATTCCACGTGGAGAGGAATTGAGGCCTTCCACCAACAACCAGCACCAACTTGCAAACCATGTGAGTGAACCATGTTGGAAGTGATCCTCCAGCCTCAGTCAGGCTGATAGCTTGATTGGAACTTCATGCGACCCTGAGCCAGAGCTGCCTAGCTAAGCCACTTCTGAATTCCTGACCCAGAAAAGATGTGGGCAATAATAAATATTTATTGTTTATGCCACTAAGTTTTGGAGTAATTTGTTATGCAGCAATAAGTAAGTAATATACAACTTATTAGAATGGAACTCTTCTGCCTCAAATTTAATTGAGGATACTAAGGAGAAAACTGTTCCGTGGCTCTTGAACCCCTTTATCCATTTCAAGAATACAAGTTTTCAGAGAACAGAGGTTTGGTAAGGAGCTTGATGAAGAGATTTCTTTGGATAAAGCCATTGCTGTGCTGAGTTCAAACCCCGATTTTGGTGGAAAGTTAGGGAAGTAACACCTTCTACCACGATCTGCTAAGGGGAATTTCAAGGAGACAGCTGGAGAGTTTGGAAATGTGTTCTTTGCAGTTAGGAGACCTGGAAAACTGGTGCCTGACTCAAGCCTGAGAAAGCAAGCAGAAGTGGGCTGAAGGCTGGTGTCTGACTCCTGCCTAGAAAATCTAGAGGGCAAGAGAAAGGCAAGGCTGACTACTTTGATAGAGTCCTTGTGGCAAGGGATGCATGAACGTTTCTCATGGACCATGCTGTGGGGTCATATTTGGCATTGTCCAACAAGCCATCAGCAGAGCCGGGGAGGCCTCAGCAGAAAGGTCTGGACTGTACTGCCTGGTGTCAAGGGACTGAGGAGAGAGGACAGCAAGTGAGCAGCCAGGGTGGAGATGCATCTGCCAGAGTCAAGGGGTGCAGCAGGAACCTCTGGTAAGCTCATGAAAGTGCCAACCCAAGAGAGCCTGCTCTAATCACCAGGCAGGCCCAGCGAGCACAAAGCCAACCAGGTGAGTAAGAACCGTCTGATCTCATACTTCAAGCTAATAGCAAGGAAAAAAAGTCAGGTGTTGCAATTCTTATATCAGACCAAGTGGATTTCAAAATAAGACAGGTGAAGAGAGACACAGAGGGACAATATATAATGATCAAAGGGACACTTCGTCAAGAAGAAATAACACTTATAAATATCTATGCACCCAACACAGGAGCACCAAGATTCATAAAGCAGCTATTAACAGACCTAAAGGAAGATGTTAAAAACAACACAATAATAGTAGGGGACCTCAACACCCCACTCACATCAATGGACAGATCATCCAGACAGAAAATCAACAAGGAAATAGTGGAGCTAAATGAAAAACTAAAACAATTGGACTTAATAGACATATATAGATCACTCCACCCTGAAAGAGCTGAATACACATTCTTCTCAAGTGCACATGGAACATTCTCAAGGATAGACCATATGTTGGGAAACAAGGCAAGCCTCTACAAATTTAAAAAAATTGAAATAATAGCAAGCATCTTCTCCGATCATAGTGCTATAAGGCTAGAAATTAATTACAAGAAAAAAGCTGAGAAAGGCACAAAGATGTGGAGACTAAACAACACACTACTGAACAAGCAATGGATCATTGAAGAAATTAAAGAAGAAATCAAAAAATACCTGGAAACAAATGAAAATGATAGCATGCCATACAAACTCATATGGGATACAGCAAAAGCTGTATTAAGAGGAAAATTCATCGCAATACAGGCACATCTTAACAAATAAGAAAAATCCCAAATAAGCAACCTTAAAGTACACCTAACTGAACTAGAGAAAAAAGAACAAATAAAGCCCAAAGTCAGCAGAAGGAGAGAAATAATAAAAATCAGAGCAGAAATAAATACTATTGAAACGAAAAAGGCAGTAGAAAGGATCAATGAAACAAAGAGCTGGTTTTTTGAGAAGATAAATAAAATTGACAAACCACTAGCCAGACTTACAAAGGAAAAAAGGGAGAAAGCTCAAATAAACAAAATCAGAAATGAGCGAGGAGAAATAACAACAGACTCCGCAGAAATACAACAGATTATAAGAGAATACTACAAAAAACTATATGCCAACAGAATGGATAACCTAGAGGAAATGGATAAATTCTTGGACTCCTACAATCTCCCAAAGCTCACTCAAGAAGAGGCAGACAATTTGAACAGACCAATCACAAGGAAAGAGATTGAAACAGCAATCAAAAACATCCCAAAGAATAAAACCCCAGGACCAGATGGCTTTCCTGGGGAATTCTACCAAACTTTCAGAGAGGATTTAATACCTATCCTTTTCAAGCTATTCCAAAAAATTAGGGAAGATGGAACACTTCCTAACACATTCTATGAGGCCAACATCACGCTGATACCAAAACCAGACAAGGACACCACGAAAAAAGAGAACTACAGGCCAATATCACTGATGAACATAGATGCAAAAATTCTAAACAAAATTTTGGCAACCAGAATTCAGCAATTCATCAAAAGGATCATACATCATGATCAGGTGGGATTCATACCAGGGACACAGGGATGGTTCAACATCCGCAAATCAATCAACGTGATACACCACATCAACAAACTGAGGGATAAAAACCACATGATCATCTCAATAGATGCAGAGAAGGCATTTGACAAGATCCAACAGCCATTTATGATAAAAACTCTGAACAAAATGGGCATAGAAGGAAACTACCTCAACATAATAAAGGCCATATATGACAAACCCATAGCCAACATCATACTCAATGGGCAAAAACTGAATGCCATCCCCCTGAAAACAGGAACGAGACAAGGATGCCCTCTATCACCACTCTTATTTAACATAGTACTGGAGGTCCTGGCCAGAGCAATCAGGCAAGAAAAAGGAATAAAAGGAATCCAAATAGGGAGGGAAGAAGTGAAACTCTCGCTGTTTGCAGACGACATGATCTTATATATAGCAAACCCCAAAGAATCCATTGGAAAACTGTTAGAAGTAATCAACAACTACAGCAAAGTTGCAGGGTATAAAATCAATTTGCATAAATCAGTAGCATTTCTATACTCCAATAATGAACAAACAGAAAAAGAACTCAAGAACACAATACCATTCACAATCGCAACAAAAAGAATAAAATACCTTGGGGTAAATTTAGCTAAGGAAGTGAAGGACCTATGTAATGAAAATTACAAGGCCTTTCTGAGAGAAGTGGATGACGACATAAGGAGATGGAAAGACATTCCATGTACATGGATTGGAAGAATAAACATAGTTAAAATGTCCATTCTACCTAAAGCAATATACAGATTCAACGCCATCCCCATCAGAATCCCAATGACATTCTTTACAGAATTAGAACAAAGAATCCTAAAATTCATATGGGGCAACAAAAGACCCCGAATTTCTAAAGCAATCCTGAGAAAAAAGAACAAAACGGGAGGCATCACAATCCCTGACTTCAAAACATACTACAAAGCTACAGTAATCAAAACAGCATGGTACTGGTACAAAAACAGGTGCACAGATCAATGGAACAGAATTGAAAGCCCAGAAATAAAACCACACATCTATGGACAGCTTATCTTTGACAAAGGAGCTGAGGGCATACAATGGAGAAAACAAAGTCTTTTCAACAAATGGTGCTGCAAAAACTGGAAAGCCACATGTAAAAGAATGAAAATTGACCATTCTTTTTCACCATTCACCAAAATAAACTCAAAATGGATCAAAGACCTAAAGGTGAGACCTGAAACCATAAGGCTTCTGGAAGAAAACGTAGGCAGTACACTCTTTGACATCAGTATTAAAAGGATCTTTTCGGACACCATGCCTTCTCAGAGAAGGGAAACAATAGAAAGAATAAACAAATGGGACTTCATCAGACTAAAGAGCTTCAAGGCAAATGAAAACAGGATTGAAACAAAAAAACAACCCACTAACTGGGAAAAAATATTTGCAAGTCATATATCTGACAAAGGCTTAATATCCATAATATATAAAGAACTCTCACAACTTAACAACAAAAAATCAAACAACCCAATCAAAAAAGGGGCTCGAGACATGAACAGACATTTCTCCAAAGAAGATATACGGATGGCCAATAGGCACATGAAAAGATGCTCATCATCGCTGATCATCAGGGAAATGCAAATCAAAACTACACTAAGATATCACCTTACACCCGTTAGAATGACAAAAATATCTAAAACTAATAGTAACAAATGTTGGAGTGGTTGTGGAGAAGAAGGAACCCTCATACACTGCTGGTGGGAATGCAAACTGGTGCAGCCACTATGGAAAACAGTATGGAGATTCCTCAAAAAATTAAAAATAGAACTACCATACGATCCAGCCATCCCACTACTGGGTATTTATCCAAAGAGCTTGAAGTCAGCAATCCCAAAAGTCCTATGCACCCCA